AGTGTAAAGGTCTTTACACTGAGATAATAATTACAATGACGAGGATCCAGTATTGAATACACGACTTCTTTCTGACAGAGATCTTATTTGAAAACTCGGATGTCAAAGGTGTTGTCCTCAAGGCTGACATGTCTATATCCTCGGTGTCCCAAGGGATGCAGTAATTAACCTGCTTCACAAGCCCCTCGGATGAAAAAAAATCCAGTCGATCGCAGTGTTGTGTGAGATTTGCCAAGTTCACTTGAAGTACAAACAGAAAACGCTGGAGATGCACATTAGGTCAGTCACGAGCATTTGAAGGAGAAAGATAGGTTAACGTTTCACTTCTGACGAAAGATCGAACCCAAAATGTTAACCCAGCTTCCTGTGGAGATGCTGATTGACCAATTGTGCATTTCCAGCCCTTTTTTGTTCATGTTTCCAATCTTCACGCTTTCCTTTCATCACTCGACGTTCAAGACATTTTGAAGGACATCAGGTCCATTCAACTGCTTTAAAATAGCCCAGCATTTCCCCGAACTCTCAATGAGCTCTTCCTCCTGTGCATCATTTCAAATGGTTCACGTCCACGACCTCTACATTATGCCCCATCCGGACCGTCGCAGAGCCAGAGACTAAAGGATGAAAAGCAAAGGTCATCTGAACGCAAGCTGTTACTAAATCGATGCCTGTAAAATGAGGCTCCTTGCTTGGCTTAGTTCAGCAAACCATGGATAGTGGGGGAGGGTGAGGTTGACAAGGGGAAGAAGGAAGAAGGGTATTGGTGAATATTAATGTGGTTTACCAGCACCCATGAAGGTTTATCAGTCAACATCAGTTAGACTGGGCAACGTGGGCTTGAACGGAGTGACTCTCATCTCCTGGATTTGAAATTTAAGATGAAGGGATTGTTCAGATGTAAGATAGTGAGGAGGGGGGGTCAAAAGGAGAAGTTAGGAGGGACTTACTTCACATGGAGGGCAGTGAGATTGCGGAACTCGGAACTGAAGCAAAGGTTGAATCAGAAATAATAGAAATAATGTTGATGTATTCAAGAGGAAGCTCATGATGGAGAGAGTAATAGAAGGGTTCGGAAGGGAGTAAGGAATAGGTGGAGACTCCTGTGGAGTGTGAACAGGGACAGGGACTGTTCGGGCTGAGTGGCCTGAGTTGTATAATCTTCGTAAATCTTTGTCGATTGTGCACTTATTGACGAACAAGTTTTAGCCTTCTCGAACAGATATTTGGAGTGAATGGATACAAATGCGGGGGGGATGGTGGGGGGGATATAATAAAAACAATTGACACTCCTTCCATTCCCCCTCCTCAACGCCACACGCATAAGCTAATAACACCGCCATATAATCAAGACACAAAGATTTCCACCACAGATGGTTTAACACGATGGGCCTGATTTCTCCTGCTGACCGATTACGCTGCCCCAGTAGTGAAGTTAATTGCGGAAATTTCAATAAGATTTTAAAACACTGAAGTCTCTTGAGAACATAGGATTGTGGCTGCTGATTTTTTTAAAAAAATCGCTGGCCTTATAACCAGCGGAGTTTCGGAAGGAATTTAAATCAACTGGTGCTGGGATTTGTAGGGAAATGTTGCCCTCTGCTGCTTAAAGGTTCCACAGCAACGGGACAACTGTGAAATGTGCTCTCTTTGCCTGACATTTGTTTCTTGTACATGTGCTCAATCGCACCGTATCAAGGTTCTGTAACTTTGTCAACCGAGAAGCTGAAGCATGCTACTTGTCAGTATGAAACGCTGATAGGTTTCACAATATTGGCGCAGCTAAGACCCCGACTAATCTAAAATGACACAGGAACTTCCTCACATGCCCACGAATCTCCCACAAGCTTCGCTAGGTTGGGTACTAGTTGAAGACTCTCACATCGTGCAAATTTGCTGCTTTCTTTTTTAACTCCAAATCTAATGTGTGGACAAACTATTGTGGTGTCCAAACTACTATCATGGTCACTGACCCCAACCCTGTCTCTGTCCCTATATCCTACAGTTCTCACTTATACAAAGCCTTTAGATCACACTCCCCATTTCCATTCCCACACGAAAATTCATGCAATTTGGTTATAGTGTATTTTCGCTTTGTTCAGAGAGTTCCAGCCTCTGTTTTATTGCCCATAAACCCAGAACTATATCCCAAGCCCTTTGCCCACATTCAGACCCTTATACATTCCCTTTGCAAACCCAAGTAATTCAGCTAAAAGTTTATCACCTGGTAAGTTTATTGGATCGGAAAAAGTAACAGAACTTTAAAGCCAGATTTCTCACTCCATCGTTTTCAATGCTAATTTTAGGAACTATCAAAAGTTGTACATTTTCATCCATTACCATCGAATTACCTCAAGTGATCAAAGGTTTCTCTGCCGGTAGCTACCCATCATTGCAAATCTGCAGAGGGGGGTTTCAGGGGAATTATATATGGATATAGGTTAACACACAGCAGTGTTGTGAGCTACAACAACAACTTGGATTTATATAGCGCCCTCCACGCCAGACAGTGTCTCAGAGCGCTTTAAAGCTCACCTGCTCAGAGCTCTGTCTACCAATTTAGACAGAGTAAAGCAAGATAATGTTCTGGCAGCGAGGGGAAGACATGGCCCACTGCACAGCACTGAAATGTTCTTTACCATGGAGACAATACCATCGAGTGCTGTAATTCAGCATTGTTTGTCTGTCCTTCACTGAACATTGTTAGTTCTGCTTTCCCTGAACGCTTGAATTAACGCCTGGGTCCTTACTACTGCAGGTGATACCCATGGTTCTGTCCATCCTTTGTGTCTCTCCACTCTGGCAGCAAAGCAAGATACATTCACTGTAATCTCTCACTTGGCCAGGCCTGTGTGCAACTTGTTGAAGTGTTCATTGTTGGAAGTCTGGAATAATTCCCGGAGATTTTAAAACCAAAAAAAAACCATTAATCGTGTATATGTGGTATTTCTGACCCGAGTGAAGAGGGCAATAAAAATCAGCCGGAGGGTGGGACAGAGTCAGATTTATTTTAAAAAAATGCAATTAATCAGCGTTTTAGTTCCACATCCCAATCGCGAACTTTCCTCTGAAAAAGTGCCACGAGGGAACGCTAACTTTTGGGTTCACGATTCAGAGGTGACGTGGCCTCCACATCTGTTAGCCACATTGTGGTAAAACCAGGTTTGCCTGATTAGATAAATATGTCACACATGTCAGCTGCCCAAAAATAACAGTCACCCCAGGCAGCGAGCAATCATTAAATACTTGACTTTTGTGGCCATGTGAAGAATTTGGAATAAACTGACAATTTGAGATATTGGCATTTCTAACCCCGTGACAGACCCCATAAAGTACACATGCAGCATAAATCAATGGCAGCATTGCTGGTACGGTTAATAGCCTAAAACTATCACTTGGCTCTCAATGTCGTCAGCAAAGTACTTTGAATGCTTGAATTATTTTGATCATCGCTTCATAAGTTAGCATTTTTTTCTCTTCAGGATTGGGGTGAGCACGTTAGCCAGGTCTGCTCCGCCAAACACACTGCAATCTAGCGTAGCGGCGTATAAACCTTTGTCCTTGTCTGGAGATGCAGAAAGGGGCAACATTGGTATTTCACAGCAGGTACAACACAGCAAAGAAAGAAAACTTCACCTTCGCCAACACTGGGTTGTCAGTCTTGTGACTACCAACAATTATAACTGGTACTCACCCATCGGGTTGTCTATGGTGACCTATCCCAACATTCCTAAACTGGAGATGATCAATTTACAAACAGGCCTTTGGATACGGTTACAGGACACTTTTCTCTTCAATTCAGAGCCAATCCAATGATCCTTTGAATCCATTCTCCCACAAGGCATAAATGTTCATTTTAGCAAATAATAATGTAATAATAATCTTTGCATTTGATATAGCGCTTTTCACGTCGGGGGAACGTCCCAAAGCGCTTCACAGAACACATTGTAAAGTGAATTGACTGTATATTTGTGGGCGAACGCGGCAGCCAATTGCGCAATGTCCCACAAACAGTCGTGGATTGAAAATGACCAATTTATTATTGTTTTTGGTTTTGGAGGGATTATTATTAGGCTCTGTGTGGGGTAAGGAAACTTGCCCAAAGTGTCGCCCTCTGCCGGGAATTGAACTCAGGTCTCTCACTTGCAAAGCGAGTGCTCTAACCACTGACCTACAGGACTCCGCAAAGCAAAGGGAGAACTCCATCCACCCCAGCACCAAAGCCTCCCTCCCTCCCGAGCGGTTGTCATGTCTACTGAAATGACATCCAGGCCTAAGATCTTCTGCTCTCTACGGCAACACCTGACCTGAGAATCAGAATACAGGAGGAACTCACCACTGAGCCCACAAACACCCACAAACACAGCCTGTGTAAGCGGACCATTAGTCTGAGAAATAAACAGGAAGTCATCATTTATAAATTGAAAAGTTGGGTAATTGAAGGAACAAATTGTTGCAATTAAGGGCAATGTTACCCTCACCAGACATCAATTTGGCTTATGTCCAACAATTGTTGCACAATTTACTCATGGAACAGATGCCTGAGCAATCAATACATAAATCTGTACCTCCAACATAATGGTAAGTAAAACTGGTGGATTTTGCTTGTGGGAAAATACTATGTTTTTTTTCCTATCTTTTATATCATTATTGAGGCGAATGTTAAAAAGTGTCTTGCATCAGCCTGATAATTACAATTAATTTGCAGTTTGCACACTTTTTAAAGAGGTGTTTTGGGAGGTTGCTAAGATTCTTTTAATAAAAAGCTCAGCAAAATGGACATGAAAAAGATTGGCGCTGTAGAGACAGAAGGGGGGTTTGAATTAAATCGTGTCAGTGCTTTGCTCAGGCTGTAACTCAGATATGGTGCTTTGTGGATGTACGGGAAATCTGTAGGACTCCTACAGTTGAAGCAATCTTGCTTACCAGAAGAATGTGTGGTTGGCCTTAGCGTTAATAGAGGTAAAATAATAATACAAAACATAGTACAACTCTTGCGTTTCTTTTAACATTCAAATTCACACACTTTAATATCATGAAAATTTATTCAGACATGGCTTGTGTGTATTTAATGTACATCTTTTACAGAATGCTTTCTTCCAACATCAGTTTCCAAACAGCTGAATAGCAAGATACAGTAACAAATCGCCAAAGACATTTTAAATAGAAATCTTTATTTACAACATTATTAACATCAAGAGGCAAATAAATCAGTAAAAGCAATATCTGCTAAACCACCTTATCTTCAATTATTTGAGTTTTTTTTAAAAGGATTCTATCATACTTTGCATGAAATGTAACATTGGGATAAAAATGAGAATATTAGAAACCTTCAGAGAATTAAATCAAATCTTCACTACTTTAATACTGTAGACCATTTGCACTTGGCCTATCATATATTGCTTTTCCAGCATGATAAATTTCTCAATTTAATAATTTATTTATTTTTGTTGCAGGCATCTATCTATCACCAAAATATGTCTCGAAACAGAAAATTAAGAACAAAAACTAGGCCAAACACTCAGGAGGGGGAGCGCGAGGAGGAGAATTAAAAAAGTGACTCATTATAATACTTGTATTTAATTTCATTTAAATAATAAATAGTCTGCTCCAATTGGTAATGCATACATTACCTATATTAATGTACAATTTGGTGTTAACAGTAACAGAAGGGTTTGAATATACATGAACTCAATTTTCTATAGCAATATCCAATCTAAAACTAAACCCTCAAAATTAAATCCTTAAAATTCTAAAAGACTAAATCACACACATTTTACCTAGAAATCCCAAACCTGCAAAAGCACCCAGTTCAGATCGTACATTAGAATTACAGAGTTTTGAAACAGTAATTTTCTGCATTAAAAATATAATTCCATTTTACTCATAACGTTCAGAACTCATTCTATAATGTGAATGCATTATTAGCCGGAATCGCTTTGTCTCGGGATTGAAACTAATAGCAGACCCTTCAGATTATTAACAAGCAGCAAAAAGCGGTCCTTTTAGTTTTCAAAATGACTTGTGGGCAACCTGGTTTGAACACTAGTTAACATCAGCATTCAGGTTTATGGAATGCTGTAGATCCTTAGTCAAAATGCTACTCACATTTCATTTAGAATACTATTGAACTGATTTAAAATATTGATTAAAATAAAGGACGCTGGACACCTTCGATGAAATACAGTTTTGACCTCCACAAGTGACACAGAATATTAAAGGCCTCACAACTGATCTCGATAGAACACAGAATTTTTTGCATTGAGAGGCAGTAAAACTGAAAGGCAAAGCAAGACTCAGCTATGTTTAACAATTTCTGCATCGGTCATTTTTTAAAATTGGTTAATTTATTTATGGGGCAAGACCTGAAGATAACGAAAGGTCATTGCTACCCCTTTTTCTGAAATTAGTATTAATGCACGATGATTTCTCTTACGAATTAAAGTTACGTCAATTGGCTGTCTCACTGAAAGTAAAATGCAAGAATTTTGTGGTTGGAGGAGTCCAGAAATTGTGCATTTATTTTCCTTTGAATTTAGTTTACAAAACGAAAATTCTACACACTGAAAAATCCCCCAAAGAGATCAAAATGATGTGTTGTATTTCGTACTCCACTTAATCGACCAGGAGAAAGCAAATCCCTGGATGAGAAGAAGAACCGGTCCTGGGATTGAAACAAAGCCTTTGTGTTGAGACTTAAGTGTACAAACCGCTCAAGAGACCAGGCTGCCAGCTATAGCTGTGTATTTTTCTCACTGAGGAATAATGGGCTACAGATCATGAGCCAATCGCTTATTATACACGACATCGTGGAGCAACCATATTTATATGTGCCAATGTTTATTGGGGGGAAAAGCAAATAGTATTTGGAGAGGAGTTGAAGAATGATACCATAAAAGACAGTTTATGTGGATTTTTAAAAAAAAAAAAAAATCTTTTCCAATTAACTCAGGATACTAAAAATGGTTGACACAGAACATTGAGCTCCACCACTAAGAACTGGTTACTAAATTCTAGCCAGCTCCAATAGGCTACTCAACTATTCTGTTGCCGTTAACCTTTTGATTAGTTAACCTTTAACCAATTTTGACCCCCATCCCTGGGCCGAATCCACAGTAAATTAGGTAATCTTCACCTCAATACGTGACCAAAGTGGTTTAGTTTTTATAGTAAGCTGCCGATTGGACGATAAGGTAAATATTTCAACACCTAAAACGTTTCACTCTGAATCGCCTGTAGATGAAGATGACAATTTATTTTTTGTTAAAACCATATTTAGAAAAAATGGTAGCGTTGAACATCATTTCTGAATGGAAACAATGGTCAGACAGTCTTTTTCTGTTAGTAACAATAATCAAATTGCTTCTGACATTCCCACGTTAGCATGGTTGGTTGTAGCTGTTCATTCATTTATAGTCACTCACACTTAGGGTTAGGGTTGCAGAGTTTTAGTCTTGTATTTAAAATGCAACGACACGGCTATTAATTTTTGAAAATAAGCTTATAGAATGCCTAAAGCTAACTTTCAGACCATAAATGCTCCACAACTTAGTCAAAGAATCAAAGAGGAAACTAAATCCATATTTAAAATATGGTACAGACCACCCAACGCATTGTAAGCACTAAACACAATCAAAGCTCAGTCAGTTTAACAGTCTGCACACAGTCAACAATTCATCCAAAGGAAATTAATGACATGTGGAATGTGAACACAGCTACTGTTGTAAGTGGCAAATTGGGAGATTTTTTTTTCCATTCGGTTAAATGATCAATATGATCAGTGGAGGTTTCAGACCATAAGCTGCACAACATAGACCCAACCATTGCTTTGACTAAAGTGGTTAGGTTTGACCAGATAGTATTCATACAAAGTAGAAAAAAATGTTTATCCCATCCCAATCAAAATGCTGCTCATCTACTAATGTAAGTTATTAAAATAATGTACAACCAGGCTTGTCATGTTGATCTTCCAGCCCCTGTACTCGAGCCAAGCATGAGTGTGGATCGCAAAATAATTTTATAAAATGAGTCACAGAAGCCGTAAAACAAATGTAGTCGCAGTAATACTGTACTACTTGCACAGCATTTCAGTCAGAAACATTGCATGGGTTTGGTGAGATTTGCCCACTTGAACCCCTGGAATCGAGAAGAAAGAGTCTGCATTTAAAGTTCGCCGGCAGCATTTTACAGCAAAAGCCTTCTCTGTACTAGAACTCTACTCAAGATTGTGTTAACCACTTAGACAAAGTCTTTTTTTTTTAAAAAAACACAGCCAACTTTGCAGAACACAATAAGCTTCAGGGAACTAAGCAGGGAAAGGGAGTCGGGGGAGAAAGGGAAGAGACAAGAGGCAGGTAAAGGAACATGTGGGAAAAGGCTTAGATAAGCAAAATAATTTCACTTCCCTATGCTGAGCAGTCCATTGCTTTCAAATATAGTGTAACTTTGTACGATTTTCTTTAGATTTTTATTGAAGAGTTGATCAAGAAAAGTAGCCATGTTTAGACACCCTGAAAGCAGTGCTATAACTGCTCTGATTCAACTTCCAAAACAAGTGTTTTTTTTTCCGTTTTTTAAAAAAAAATGAATATCTACAAAACACCCCAAAATATCAATACCCCAAAAAATCAAAAGTAACCGAAGTTTAATTTGAGAGCTAAATATTAATATGTACTCTAATATATTGAATGAGGTCACCATAAATTCTATGACGCTCATAGTCTAGTCTGCCAGTCAGTCAGTCGCTCATTATATGATGGTGATTGCATTTAGATTCAAACGGGATCCATAGCCTCTACTCAAATTAAAGCAATTACGTTGAATTTAATTCCTATGGAGTAAAAGCCATGTAAAAAGCAAGCTACTGTTTGAGGCAACACGTGTATCCTTTTCAAAGAATTGAAACAGTTTGAACGATGGCGTGAATTTTATTCCAACTGCATGGTTTGTTTCTAAGAGTATTGATGGGAAAAAAAAACAAGGAACCCCTTCTTAACACGTGTCATCACAACAGTTTGTTTCTGGATTCCAGGCTCTAATCGCAAGGACTTCAGGACTCTTCAGCACTTATTGCTCAACAAACTGCCTGTGCCCATGTCCGGCTACAGCATTCCTCTCCCCCACTGGGGACAAAAGAGGACTTAAGCGACACCTGATGGCGAATTCAGTTTCAGTAATATAAACAAGTGCCTGTCGGTGGGCAACAAATCCTTATTCAAGCGTTTGAACAGTTAACATTGGCTAATTTAAGCATGATGTTCAGGCATGTTGTCACAGTCGCAGATTTTAGAAGCAATGTTTTTTTTATATAGATATAAACACAATCATGGGTGTGTGGGGTGGGGTGGGAGGAATACAGCTTTTACAAAGATAAAAACCAGATTGGTGGCACAGAATTAAATTTGGACGACTAACGTGGGGAAACCGGAACCTTTTGCACATTTCCTGCAAATTGGCTGCGTTGTCGAGGCCTGGCGTAAAGAGGACCGACTGACAACATGAAGTGGTGCCAAAGGGCAAGTGTACAGAAACAGTTCTGTCAAATATTTAGCCTCACCAACACTGTGCAAAAATCAGTTAATGTGACCTATAAAAGTGTATATATAATATATTGTATTCGCTATTTACAAGATATATTCACAGGAACCAGCTTCCAGGTCTCCAAGGCAGCAGTACCTTGCTTTGAATCAACAGCTTGCACCCTTGCCTTTAATCCATTTCAAATTTTATCTACAACATTGTAAAACAAAGATTATTGCTTGGCTTTGCATATGCAGATTAGGAAAAAAATGGACGTTGATGAACATAGTTTTTGAGTTTGAATGTGATGATCTTTGAAATACCAATGAGTTAATCCAAAGACTATTTGGAAAAAGGAGAAAGAATTCTGCTAATGATGTGCAGATAATAGTTTAGTAAAGTCTACACTGATTATGAAACACTGCAGTGATCTTTGACTACATCAGCCTTCTCTAAAGTGCATCAACAAGCACACTGCTCTATACGGACACTCAGCAGTCATTATTTAAAATATTTGGAATGACTACGTTATGAGTGACATTTCACAATACTGCCCCACAGAAACCAAGGCGAGGTACTGCAATATAGTAAGGTGTAAGTTTTGGCAAGTGAAGATAGGAACCAGATGATGGGGGGGAAAAAAAATGACTATAAAACAAAGCGAGATGCTAAACAATCTGAGTTTTCGACCGGCGGTGTGTGCTGCTGCCAAGAGTCTTCCCTCTGATAATATGAACGTGTCTGATAAAAACAGAGATTCGTTTTTTTTCCCTTAAGAAATGCACACCTCAGCGGGCTGGCACAATGGTCTGGTTTTTGGGTTGCACCAATTGCCAGCAGCACAGTCGGGTGGGCGTTCATTTCTTTTTCTGTAATGAAATGTCTGCTGTAAATTCTCACAGTGCATTATTCTCAAAAGTTACGTGGACCCAAAACGAACCTTTTGGATTGATGATCATCCATCCTGAGTCGTCAGCAATATTTCTGTTTGACAGGGAAAAAAAACAGAAGTCAGTAAGTCAAATATTTCCTTTAATCTACTTCAGTGAGGTCTTCGTGTCTGCTGTTGTACCGTCTAGAGTTGCACAAAGGGTGCTGGAAGCATTATTAAAGACTCGGCTAGAATGAGTTGAGGATTTTTTTTGAGGGGGGGGGGGGGGGAGGGCACAATAAATGTGCAATATGCCAAAGGAGTCAAGAGATAGAATAAGTCACAAATGCCGGTCTTTAAAGGAGACAGAAATGGGTTTAAAACTTACTAAAATATCTGAGTCACAATATCCAGCAAATGGCATTATTTTAACTTTAACATGGGGATAGACACGCAAACTTTGCAACTGAGATTGTGAGGATTGAAATCTGAATCTGAATACTGCAACATAGATTCCAGTAAACAGACGGGCTGTTTTGGTCTGCGTTGCTGCTGTTGGTGGTGGATTTTTGCCACAAACTGTGCAGGAGATTTCAATCAGTGGAAAATTAAGCCATATTGAAGAGTATTACCTGCTCTGTACCCATGGTTGACATTCCTGACACAGACATTGGAGCCATGCTCATTTGCCCTGGCATCTGGCCCATACTACTGACACTAGCATTTACTGGCATGTTGGCATTCATATTCATCAGGCTGTTGTATGTGCTGGGGTTTGTCTGCTGCCCAAATTGCTGTGGAGACTGTTGTGGAAACGAGCTGTGAAAGGACAAACATGAAGTACATTAACATAGAGCAGATGTATTTCCTAGCGTGGAAACAACATTCAGGTTTATTCAGGGCAAGATGCCAAACTCAAGGCAAACTTCAGGGACAGGGTCTAATTTCGTTCGAGAGCATTCTTGATCCTGTCATCACATTATATTATAACATCTTAAACTTTAGACATCTTTTCTAGTTTTCTTGGAAATTGCAGTATAGTTCATAGCTGTACTGAAATTAACACTTCTTTTCTGCTGCTTACACTAATCTTGTTCAACTCCATTTCAACTCTTCTAGTTCCAATGAAACAGAAACACTAAATCTATTTCTCCCCTCGCCAATCGACCTGCTGTGTATGTCCAGCATTACTGATTTTAGTTCAGATCATCAGCATTTAGTTTATTTTTATCTCAACTGCAAAAAAATCTATGGTGCATAACAAATAGAAATTTTTTAACGGTTTCATGACAGTCACATCCTAGAGCCCCTGAGCTAGTGAGGAGGAGAAAGGTGGATATAATGGCTCTGTCAATCACACCTATTTCCACCCATGTTGCCCGTCGACCAGCCCTTCATGTCGGTGGTTGTCTGGTACACGGCGGCAGTTTGGGGGTGCTGCATCATGGGGTTCTGTGGAGGTGCCATCCTTGACATAAGTGTATTGTGGGGACTGGGAGCTCTGCCAAAAGCTGGATCAGATTGTTGATTCATCCCTGAAAGGAGAAATTACAGTCAAACCTCTCTTAAGAGCTGATAATATATGTAACTGATCTCCGTTGATTATAAATAACAATAATAAGCCTTGCATTTGATATAACGCCTTATCACAGAATATACAGTAAAGTGGATTGACGGTGTGTGGGTGTTTTTTTTTAAATGGGCAAAAAACTCAGCAAGCCAACTGCACACAGCAATTTGTTCTCTTCAAATGGTTAACAGATAATACAGCCTAATATACAGGCGTTAGATTAAAGTGGGAACGGACGACTGATGGGGTAAACGTGTCGGAGCTTGTACCATAGTTTGCCGGATACGAGAACTGCTGTGGCGATGCCGGGGTTAACTGAGGGCCTCCCATAGGACCTTCCATGCCAGTGGGAGCCGTGACATTGGGAGGTGGGCTGAAGCCCTGCTGTTGCTGCTGCTGCTGCTGCTGCTGCTGTTGCCGCATCAACATGGCTCTGTGCATCATCTGCCTCTGGCGGAGTTGTTGGGTCAAGATCTCTCTGTGACGCTGCATCATCTGTGCATTGAGAAAACCCTACAAATGAGTGCAGAATAAGGAATAAGACGCCCACAATAATCCACAGGAGTAAAATTGTTATTAAGGAGTGGAATATGTTTTTTCTCTTTTTTTTTAAAAAACAGAAAAGGTTTCTCGGTTATTACACATCCGGCAATTTCCCAAACTTACCCGTACTTGGGCCACGCTCTGGGGAACGGACAGCGTATCATTTTATAACTCGCCCAGTGATGGCATTTTCAGTTAGTTACTTAGTTAAGATCATCTACAATTTCTAGTTTTGTATTATAGCTGTACAGACTTCTCAGAGAGAGAGAGAGAGAGAGAACCAATCAGTTTAATCATCGAACACTGGTAGCAATAAGTAAAGTCACTTGTTACTTTACCTGAGCCACCATTTGTTGTTGCATGCCTGGCCTCAGGGCTGGATTCACTGTATTGGGATTCTCCAGTTTGATTCCAAGTGACTGACGATTCTGGTTCAACATCTTTTGGAGTGGAGGGGGTGGTGGTGGTGGGTGGGTGGGTGGGGGGGGGCAGAAAAGAAGAAAAAAAATTGGATCAAGAGCACATTTCGACTCAATACTGCAAAGGCAACACATTTCCCTATTTTATGCCTTGCACATCTAATAATAATTACTATTATTATAATTATTATTGCTCATTTTCTACACATTGGCTGCAGACAATCTGATGTCAGATCCGTGCTGCTCCTACCTGCTGTCCTTGTAGCCTCTGCTGCAGCTGGAGTCGAAGCTGCTTGGGAGCAGGAGCGTTCATCATGCGATGGCGGGCAAAAGTAGCTCTAGGGTGGAAGCTGGCAAGGGGGAAGCTGCCTTGCTGGCCCATTTGATTCATCATAGCGTTAAACCCCGGTTGCTGGCCCTGCATTGAAGGATAGCATCCCTGCATGGGACCAGCCTGGGAATTAAACTGTTGACCATACATCGCTTTCTGTTCCAGCATTAAGGCCGTGTCCTGCACTGAGAACTGGTCTGCGTGGGCCTCAAGAGGCTGGACCTAGAGACGGCAAAAGTGAAGCGTTAACTTTCAGTGGTGAAAATCAAAATATTCATCTGTATTCTCTTTAACAAATTCAGGTTCTGTAATGTAGACTGCAGTGCAGGTTTTTGAGTCAATTGCTATAAACATCTCTTTGGCATTTGATTTTGCTCAGTCACACACTAAAAACCGACTAGCCGCACGGCTTTAACATGCACAGAGTAAAGAATTTACATTTTCATAGCAATCAATCGCATCCAAATGCCTTAAAGTGCTTCACAAGCAATTAATGTCAGGTATAATGACTGTTTTCGAAGCATTTAATCTATTGAGCAAGTCAATAAATACAAAATGAGACAGGAGAGTATCTCCCTCTTTGCCAACACTTTCATTCTCCAATTGGCACCAAAATCTTTGTGTTCAGCCACTGTCTTACATTAGCAGGTCAGTGGAGCAGCTCAAAGGTCAGGAGCGAAGCAGCAACAATCAAAAGCACAATTGAGACTGAATGATCACACAATCAATCTGCTACGCAAGGACTGGGCACACAGACTCCTGGTATCAGCTTCTAAGAACAACTTGCAGTTATATCGTGCCCTTCACATTGGATAATGTTTCAGAGTGCTTTACAAAGATGGGGTTGGATGAGGAGCAGGGGAGAGAGGGAAGTGGTCTCTGGAGCAAACTGTTTGATAGACGTTTTAAGTTCCAACTAAGCCATACTATCTATGCCCAATAATATGAATTGGTTTGATGCGGACATCAAAACCTACCAACTATCAGAATGTTGGTATTTTCCTACCGGTAGGACTCCTCATCATCAAGGGTGCAGAATACAATGTGTTGATTGGATTACCTGGCTAATAAGATCTGGAATTCCTAAAGCCCGATCAATTTCCTCTAGACCCATTTCATCGGCATTGCTCAGAAGTGTATCGAGTTGATCCAGAAGAGCCTTTTCATCACTCTGAGCCTCTGCAGTCGTTGGAGGGCAAAGAAGGTCATCCAGCGAACCTCCAAATGGCTGCCTGCAACAGTCAGGGCAATATGAGAATGTTGACACTTGCACATCACTCATATCATCAACATCAAATACTACAGACTCTCTACAAGAACAACAACATTATATTTGTAGAGCGCCTTTGTGTCGGGAGGACGTCCCACTACAAATAAACCTCAGTTGGATTGAAAGAAAAGGAGCACGTCAACAGATATAAAGTCCATTTTCATGCACATGAACTTAAGGTACGTTTTCTATTTGCTAAGACTCGTGCGCAGGCCCCCAGAAAAATCTTTTTAAAAAAAAACATTTTTAGTGTCCGCCTTGGGTCCGAATTCCGGATACTCGGAGACGGGGGTTTACTGTACAATCGCTTTTCACATCAAGGAGGACGTGCCTCAGCAATCCTGCCTTAGCTCCTAAAGGAAAGAGCTCAATGTGCAATTTTGTTCCCAGTACGACTGACAAACTAACCTGCCCTGGCCACCTGAGTGTACTTGCTCCATTTGAAGCACATTATCAGACCACGATGTGGTTTGATTGGGTGGGACTTGCTGTTGCCCAAACTGGGGACCACCGAGACTCATGTCCATTTCTGAAGGTCCTGGATGACAAAAAGAAACAATCATTCAAACAAGAAAATGGTAGCTTTCCTAAGTGAATATCTCTCATTAATAACATTAAGGTTAAACACCTCACCCGTATCATGTTATTCTCCGTCCTCCCACATAACCTCCAAAACCGGTGGGCTTGTCCGTGCACCCGATGCTGCTTAAACCAGCTACTAGTATTTGGGTAACAGCAACCCTAGTTGCCCTCTATTCTTTTGGTGCATCCTCACAGCAGAGATGCATCTTTGCCTCTCAGTGGAGTCCACTGTACACAAGTTGTCCTCGCGAACATTACATTCAATCTCACAGTAAGAAAAAAAAATAAAACGTACTCATCCCCATCATCTGTTGCTGAAGCATTGTTCGAGGCCCAGGCTGCCCGTTAGTTCGCATTTGCATCGCGAGCGCGGGATTCCCGACCATCGCTCTTTGTATAGAGGAGCTATAGTCTGCGCCAGGTCTCATCATCGAGGCGTTTCCAGCAGCAACGTTTGCTAACCCCCATTCTCCCGTTGCCATGGCCGACTGCTGAGCCACGCTCAGACCTCCGTGTGTTCCTAGAAAAATTGCAGTATTGCCACGTTATCAGTGTCGGCAATGAAAATCCACGAATGGTGCAACACATCGACTGGGGCAGCAAATAACTCGAAAGAAACTCCAGTTCTTTCTGTAATAGCACCACTTTGGTTTTAAAGAGATCCACTATACAATACTCAGTTCAGACTGCTTGACCTATAGAAAATATTTGTCAATTTAACAGAGTGTGTGTGATATTGTAGCAGAACTTGTGTCCCTTGGTATTTGGACCTTGATATAATGTCCACATTGACTTAATCAATCCCCTTCATAGTTTTGAAAACTTCAACCAGGTCACCTCAACTTGTCTTCCAGGATAAGCCCAATTTCCTGTCCTGTAATTCAGGTAACTGATACAAAAAATAATCTTGGTTACTTTCCTCAAAGGCAATACCATCCTTACAAACATTAGGTGACCAGAACAGCATATAGTACTCAGGTTACCGTATGTCAAAACAATATGGCTTCTCTCGATTTGTACTTCATCTTTCTAATACAACCAATTACCTGCTTGCCCTTTTCACTCCAGCCAAACCCTGGTTTAATAGACATATAGGTCGAGCATTGTATTGCATATCTCAAGTATTCTGCGTTTTTCTGAAGCTCTACAACAGAAAAAGGTTAAGGATTCTCATTACTAAGTGGCAACCAGAGACTTGAAGAGGATGCATTGTTCATTGAAGAGCTGATGGAAATTCATAAGTTCCATGAGACTTTTGTTAAACAGCATTTCTCTTTTATATGATCTAACCTCTTGCTTTCCTCACACAAACATCCAGACTCGAGCAAAAAACACTTTTAAGGAAGTGATAGCCTGACACATCGATGACACTTAAAAAGTTTACACAAATAATTCAGAGGTCATGTGCTGTAAAATTCTAATGATTCCAGGTAGAAAACTAGACTAATTTGACAGTTAGTGGGGTTTATTTGTAAATAAAAATGGAATATGTCCCTCACGTTTAGAAGTTAATAGTGTACTAATCTGAGGAATTAGCGACTACCTGAAATTTCATTTTTTACTCCACCTTAAATTTTATCTTAATTGAGGGTTTGCAGTTTCCCCAATGGGTGTCCTGGTGCCAACCCTCTGTCAATGTAAGCAGCTTGTGGGAGATGCACAAGCACTTTACTCTCTGCATGGGGCCTCTCAGATCAGTTAATTCCCCTGTGGGCAATTTGAGGAGTGAATGCACAGCCCACCAGTCTGTGATACAGCATGTCCCAGTCCGTTTGTGCTGTGGCCTGTGTAGGACAGGAAATATTAACCTGGTAAAGAGTTTTTGTTACAATTTTGCACACAGGCATCTGGGATAATTCCGGATACTGATCAAGAAGCTTCTGAAATGGCAAATCTCAGGCATTATTGTATCCTGGAGAGAAAACAAAACTTTTAAATAAAAACACCTCAGGTTATCTGCACATACTTTTTATTGCAAGAACTGAATGAAGCTACAGTGCTTAAGGTTTTCTTTGCCCGTTGACTACTGGTAAATCTATTGGTCAGTCAAACTGTGTAATACAGACCACAAAGGGCCTTGGTTTGATTTGCTAGTCAGTGGTGAGTTGGCTGCTAAGAGACAGACATACCTGTACTCCCTACAAAATGGTCTTGGCTGCCTCCCATCCGGTTTGCCATTAGCCCCTGCTTTGTCATCATGGCATATGGGCCACTGCTTCGTATCGGTGGGACAAGTCCTGCACTCATCTGGCCCTGGCTGTTAACATCCAATGACATTGCTCGGCCAAACCGAGGTCTGGAACTTTGCATAGGCTGTGGACTGCTTAAATCTAGCGGGAGTAAACAAACACAGAGTTACAAGAGGAGTAAATATCAATTAAGCATAATTTACAGAACATACGTGTTCTATTCGTTCTCTTCAGAGTAGTTATCTCTGAGACAAGGATCATCGTTAGACTTAATATTACTCAGATGTCTGTATTGGTGTTTGAACCTTAAATTTATTCAACCTAGGAACCCCAAATTTATTTATTATTAAAATTTTCAACATGTCCCATCTCCGTAACAGGTGCCTTTGGATAGTTGCTGATGGCTTCTTCTTTAAACGAGAAACTGTAAGGAACACTTAACTCCGAGCCTCACACCAAAGTAAAATAAGAGATGCATTTCACCAAAGGAGACAGCAGATGGTGCAACTTTCATTGTGATCAAATGATTCCACAGTCGACAACAGATTGCACTCACTGCCACGGATCTGCTTCTGTGTTCCTGGAGAAGGTGAATGGCCTCGTTCACTTCCAAAGCCCATGACTTCCTGAAACATGGCTTGTTTGTTGATCATAACATTACTGTTCCCAGATTCAGGATAATAGTGGGATAAACCACCCAGAATGTCATCTAAAGTGTCAAATTCATTGCTCGCCTGAAATATAAAATGAAGGAAAAGTCCATATTAAGAATTTAAAGCCGACCTGAATAATTTATGGTCAAAACACAGTAACTTTTGTTTATTCAACCCACCGTCCACCTAAATATAGTTTGTGCTATGTTTACAATCCATGTGAAATACAGAAATGTTCCATGAACTATTTTATCCAAAATCGATACACAATTAGCTCAACGTGACTGAAAGATGTCCATTTGCAAGGACGCCCGCCCCCTCCATCATCAAGGACGGCAGGTACCATCGATCGGAATTACTCATTTGCGGTTACATTTTTTTAAAAAAAAGTTATAAAAAGCATTAAGTAAATAGCACAAAATGCATCAATGTACTGTAACCTTCATTACCACTCCCCCATCTCACCCCGCCCCCCTACACAAAAAAAATTCAGCATTTTTCTTTGTATTTTAACTGGTAATCCACGACTCCCAGAGAACACGCTTTAGACTGCATCAATGATGGATTGATAGAGCTACTGCATGGGTTACACATACAATAGGTAACTTGGAGATACATTGTAAGGATTTAGGAATGCCAGAAAAATCAAACAGTTTAGCTCATACATTATCTGAACCTTTAACAACATTTAACTCTCAAAAAAAAAGGTCATTTTTTTCTTTTAATGTGCCCGGCCAATCCTATACATCCTTCAGCTACCATTAATATTAACAGATTTTTTTTTCTTTATAAAATCAAGAGGATTTTTGGCAGAAAGATTGGCGTTTTTCCGAGTTTGTGACATATTTTGGAGTTTACTCCCCAGTCCATGGCAGGCATAATCAGAACAGAACAAATATTGGCAGTGGGATAATTCAGGTAATTAGTAGGGTGGTGCTAGAAAGCACAGGGAACTATAGAGCACGATACAACTAAAATGCCAACTATTTGTTTTTTTTTAAGCAAAGTAATGGAAAACAAAGCACACGTTGGAAATTGTGAAGCGTGTGCCGTGGTCCTCGTGTACCCATTAAACATGGTATTCTAAAATTCAAAGACTTCGATTCGACTCCAGAGATTTACCCGATGACATTCATTCTCCCAGAAATATTTTGTCGCTTCTCTTACCTGGTCAGGTCGTTCAGTCTTTATGTGCAGTTCGTCTTTCACCTGTATTGAACCTGTAGGTTTCCCTGCATTGCAAGCATCCATCTTACCGTCCATACCTTCAATTTTAGGCTTAATATCATTTAAAGCAGGATCTTTCGGGTCATCCTTATCTAGCAGGTATCGCAGTAAATTATTACTTTCCTTTTTCTTCGGGCTCAGCTGCTCTTGTTTGATCACGGCTTCTCCGACTGCTGTGGTGTTGCCCGAATCCTGACACGACTCCTTGCCCGTAGCCTCCGCAGTGAGCTGGGCTACTTCGGCAGGAGAGTTGCCGTTCTTGAGAAGCTTGTGCAAAATTTTGTGCTTCTCTTGTACAGAAGATCCATGCAATCCAGCGGCAGCACCAGCGCTACCAGCCGCCACCGAGGTGGAGGAGACTCCAGAGGGGCTTGTGATGCCACCGGAGGAATCTTTGATACCAGAATCCAAGCTGGAGTTGGTTAAAGATGTCAGTCCCATATCATCGGAGGGCGAGGTCAGCAACTGCAAAAGTTTAGTGTGGTTTTTGTTCTCGTGGAACCTTCTTTGCCCCTCTGGGTTGTCGCCACCAACAAAATGATTGAGATTTCCTTCTTTAATGTTCTTCTGCTCGCTGTGAGCATCTCTACTTTCCGGCCGACCGACTGTGCTCTCCACTTGGCTGTGCTCCCCGAAAAGGCCCGGAGAATCCTTTAGATCCACGCTACCTAGTTTAGGCGGCTGTGACAAACTCACGTTGGGGGAATTCTCCATCTTCTGACCCGGTGACGATAGCGATGACAGGAGTGAAACACCCAAGCCTTCGCTGATAGCTTGAAGCGCATTCAGGGAGCTGCTGGAGAAGGTGCTACTTCCCATGTTGTTCATATGTCCCACCGGCGACTGCATGCCCCCAGATGAAGAATATTGGCTGGGTCCCATTCGTGGACTCATTCGATGCCTTGGTGAGAGCATCAGGTTCTGCTGTGTTGAGCTCATCCCAGGGCTACTGTGGGGGGGACTATTCATGCTCAGTGCATAATTGCTCCCCTGTAAGGCAGGTGCCTGCATACCTGCTCCATGGCTCATTGCTCCACCACCACCACCACTGAACCTGTTGCTCGCCATTTGTCCCATAGAATTCGGGTCATTCATGTTATTCTGGCCATAGTTCATGTTGTTTTGCACTGGCAATCCCTGTCCTGATGCCCCTGATGGCATGTTCACATTGCCTGAAGGATTTGTGCTTGCTGGGGCAAGAGTCTTCATCATTTCTTGTCCCATGGTATTTTGGTTCATCCTGCAGCCATTCTGCTCCCTAGGAACAGAAAGAGAGGCTCTCAGATTAGGATGAACAACTAGTGTGAACGACTAGCCTTCACTGTGAGGCCAGAGCTTTGGGTTGAAACCTACCCTTTGAACCACTGCGATGTAAACATTTAATAGTTTACTGTTAAGATAAAAACACACACATCTTCGACCTTAATCAGCAAAAAAAAACTATTTCAGCCGGTTTTGGTTATAAAAAGTTCTTAAAATTGCTGATATTTTCAAAAACTAGTCTGTTTTCTTTACAATCGGGAACGATATCCATTTTTAATTAAATGCTTAGATCAGAGGTTAAAGAGAACAAGTACATTCTTATATTCTAAAAAGCAAAATGCTATGAGTTTTTAAAAATGAAGAAATCAATATAATAATCATTTTTTGATAAAGCCCCCTATCTATTATGTCACCAAAATATCTCAAAGTGCTTCACAGGATTTTACTATATAGTTTAGTGGCCAATCTAAACTGAAAGTGAAATGTAGGATCAATTTTTTTNAAACTGGCAAATAGTGGGCCAAGACCTTGGGAGAAATCCAGGCCTGTAAAGATGGATCAGAAGCAACGCTGAAAGCTGACACCGGGAAACATCGACGTAAGAATGAAAAAGCCAGTTAAATTTAAGGAATAATCTGTCAAGTTTAAGAGTTGTTCACTTGTGAAAGAGAACTGCACCCGGTGCTATAATTCTGACTCCCCGAGTGCACTGAAGCTTTCAAAAGTGAGTTGGGCCAATTCCCAATTCAAGACGGAGGAAAAGATTGTATGGCAGGAAATGGGTTAGATCAGATCTCGAAACAGGAGCCAAATGATGGATCAATGCATCTTCGAAAAAACCTTGCTGGTAGGAGCAGCCAGTAACCAGCTTTACATTCATATTAAAAAGTGGTACATCTCAAGATATTATGACAAAATATCCTCATTTATCGTTAGACAAGTACAGGTTTCTCTTGTACCTCTGAAGCACGTGTGTGGAGCTGAAGCCAAGAGGCTCATTGGTCACTGGATTGCGCAGAAGCTTTGTCTTGGTTTGCGCAGTGACCACAGTACCATCTGACAAGGAGAATCGGTAAAAGGAACTCTCTGCTTGGCCCTGCATCAAAGCTAAGCAAGAGAAAAGATACGTTAGTGTGCAAACCAAACTTAACACACCAGCTAACCCATGCCACTTACATATAACGACAGTTATAATAATATTACATAATCCCTACATTTGATATAGCACCTTATTACGTCTTCGAGACATATAAAAGCGCTTCACTGAATATACCGTAAAGTGAATTGACTATATTTTGTGGGCAGGTTAATATTGACATTTTTTTAAAAAAAATCTTCACCTTCATGATAATGTCTTTTCAGTGACCATGGCTGTCCATCATTGTGATGAAAGAATCTCTGTATACATCTTCTTACAAGGTCTTCCCAGCCCGGCTTCATTGAGGCGCGCAGAGAACTTGGATCTATCGAAGTAATCTTCCCTGAAAGGAAAACAAAGAGAGTCAAGAAATAAACGACAAGGGCAACGTTTTCCTCCCCCCTTTTTAAATGAAAATAATGAAATAAATGAGGAACACTAACTAGCGAGGCAGGTCTGTTGGGGGGGGGGGGGGGGGGGGAAAGAAAATCAGACTCAGATTGTATTATTATTTCAGATTGTATTTTGTTCCAGCTGCCTATTTATTTGTTATTTGTATCTGAAGAGAAGATGTGTGCAAGAATGAGGAGTGACATGCAGTTATAGGAGAACAATTTAAAAACTAATATATGCATATTGTGCTACGAGAAGCTCACTGGCATTCTATTTAGAATTAAAGCAAATAGAGATGGATGGAACAGAAATGGGGTGAAATACAAATTCAAAACTATTTTAAAATCTTGCACGTGGTTACTGAAGTGATAATGCTTTTGAAATCAAGATTAATTTTATGATGTAACATTAATGGGATTTGAGCATCAAAGTACATAAAGCTCAACTAAAACGCAATGACCCAAGTTGCCTGGAATTCACTAAAGATACCAGCTGCATATGGGTATTTTTTTTATAAAGTTTCAAAACAAAACATCTTCTGCAGACTTTTTTTTAAACAACAACTCGCATTCATATAGGACATTTATATGATCTTGGATTGACATGATCTGTTCATCATGGTCATTTTCTAAGAGTTCTTACCCGTCATATCGTGCCTTGTAACGAAGCTTTCCGTGCTAGAGGGGAACTGCGATCTCTCCACTGGTGTAATTCGTCTTGCTACGCAAATCATACAGGACTGCAGATCTGAAATAGCAACACCAGGCTAACGGTTACCAACTTCATCATTAAAATCGTTCCATTTATATCTTGAAACAAACACAGCGATATTGTTATTATTGCAAAGAGTTGCCCCCTGCCTCACACAAAGGTGGGAGGTTTCAACACTACCCATTTCCATCCTGAGAAATAGCTGATTAAAATTGATAAATTATTGTGGACCAATGGTAACACAGCCAACTTCAAATTAAAAATATCTTAAGACAAGGAAGGTGTGGAAGTTCAACCCCTACTCTATGTTGGCGTTAAATGCCTGCTGGAGCAGTAGGAGGATGATGTACCTCTGACCTCAGGTATCCGGGTTCAGTATTCGTGGGTTGAATGCAGATCGAGATCGGATTCCTTGACTACTTTGAAATACCAGGAGTACGTACCTTCCCCTTCTTCGGTTATAGCCTTCGGCTGAGAAAGAGCGAAGCACTGCATCGTTTCATGTTTCTGACGTGGTTCGTGGCTTCCACTGGACTCGTCCAAAGAAACATATGGCATCTGGACTAACATGCGACAGTTGAACGTGTGGCTCTTCTGTCTCTGCGTCTCGTTTGTCCACGAAACCCCATTCACTGAGAAGATATCAAGAGAGATCAAATAATCAATAAAACCGATCAAGGCCTGCAACCTGCAAAACGTTCCTGTAATTGGGATGAATATACAGATAATCATGTTATTCTGTGAAGCGCTTTGAGGCGTCTCGAAGACATGATCAAATGTAAAGATTATTAGCATCAACCAGCAGATATGGGTCAGGAAAAACGTGGGTAGAAAAGATGCAATTTGAGGAGAGCAGGGTCTTTCTGGGTAGGACTATGCGTCTTGCGTCAAAATTACCAAACAAAACACTATCTGCTTGCAAGTATGAGGCAAGTGGTTTTTTTTCTCTCTCCTCCCAGTTAATAATAGAGGTGTGTCCATTCTTACTCCACATGCCTAATAATAATCCCTCAAGAAAAAAAATAATAAATGGGTCACTTCAATCCACAACTGTTTGGGGGACACTGCTGTGCGCAATTGGCTGCTGCGTTTCACCCATAAATATACAGTCAATTCACTTTACAGTATATTCTGTGAAGCGCTTTGAGATGTCTAGAAGACGTGAAAAGTGCTATATCAAATGCAAGGATTATTATTATATAATAATAATAATCCTTGCATTTTGATATAGCGCTTTTCGAGACGTCTCAAAGCGCTTCATAGAATATGCAGTTCCATAAGTCACTCAATTAACTATGTTATTAAAGCAATGGCAGGCATCTTGAATCAGGGGAGTCCCACACAACTTCAATTTGACCTCCTCAAATGGATAAACGGTATTGTGACAAGAATATCCTAAGGATCAAAAGGAATAAATAAGCTGCTGGAAAACGGTCAATCTCTCATTTATGCTCCAAAAGGCATCCGGGCTGTGGCTCGGAAAATTCAGAGGCACCAACCCCAGTTTGTCAAGGTGCCCACTTCACACTGTGGCTCCTGGAGAGGACCTGGACACTGTCAGAGTCCAACAGCTCCATTCTTCTATTTAACAGTTTTTAATGGATCTTAATGGAAAATCAGTCTTCCTCTGCCGATTCTAAAATCAGGCTTCAAACTAACTATTGTAATCCTCATGTGCGCATTCATAGGGACATTCCATGAGACATTTACATTTTAAGTATTTTTTCTTACCTGCAGATTTTGGCAAATTTCTAAGGAATTCATCACGGTCCTCTTGATGAAGTATGTTATAAACACTAGTGTTCATCAATTCCTCCTGTTTGTATTGTAGGTATTGGGTAACATTTTCAGACACAAACACAATGTTTCCGTCTCGATTGACCACAAATAGAAAGCCATCCAGGGCCTATAAACCACAAAGTAAAAACATTTCTGGCTGTTTGCAGGAATATTTATTAGAATTTACGACAAAGGCTCGTTTCAAAACAATATCTTAGTGTTTATCTTTCTCCACATCTCCAACATGGAATAAACATTTCTTGGCTTAGTCGTTTTTAAAGAGCTGCAGTTACCATTTTTAATTCCTGAGGCCAGCTGGGCCCTAAACATTACACTGTTCTCAGTCAGATCATGAATTGTCACAGAGGAAAGTTATGTGGAAATGTCTGTACAAGAGAGAAAATGGGTTGAAATACTCACACGCATTAAATTGAGAATAAATGCCTTATTGTGCATGTCAGACATACCTTAAGCAAGAGGGGCCCCAGTGAATCCTTGTCAATAACTCCTTGTCCTGTGGAAGATACATCTGCTTTCTGCACATCATCTTCATTTGAGGATGCTTTACCTATGAAGGAAAACGTTACATTAATGTTCATATTCACAGAAATGCACACAAACAAAAATAAGATTATTCTTGTGTTTTTTTACAATCATAACATTGTTTCCTACGTGTAATGAACTGGGCAGATTTTGCGTTCAACCTTTTGAGGCCACGTTACAGAAAACTCCAGAGGATACCTCTGCAGAAGAAAGCAGTAAAGCTATCAGACTGGTATTCAAAGCACAAGAGCACTACACTCAATTTCTGGTCCTAATGACTTTACTGACTGAACAGGATTCTCTAAGGAACTACCAATGATTCTCATCATTTTGCTAATTGTAGAAAAATATTTTTTTTTGCAAAAGTCTCTGTTCTGTGCATACCATGACTATAAAGTTGGCCTGCCTGGTATTATCAGATACATCACCTCAGAGCAAACAACACCAGTGACATACTTGTTAACTTGCCCTTTTTTTAAAGGCATAAAATTTATTTTAATATAGAGCCTTATGCTCTATACAAGTTCCGTTTTACTAAGTCTTGGAATAGATATTTTAGAAAGGCCTATGAATCTTATGAACCAGAACAGATCTGGAGCTTGTGGAAAAGCAAAATTCCGATCGAGTTCATGAGCTCTCTAAGTGGGTCAGATGATAAATAGCTGTGGCATTCAAAATCCCGTTGCATATTTTAATAACTTTTTAAAAAAATAAAATATTTGAACAGAGATATGTAATGCTAAGAGAGTTGCATCAATACGTCCCGGTGTCCTGGTCAGTATTGGCCAGTGCCTGTGAAACATTAGCTCATGATCGCAAGGCTCCTCTTCCTTGGAGAAATGTTATAAACCAAGCCGAATACAAAAGTACATGTTATTTTTCCCAGTTCATTTTTAGTGGGACTTATTTCCAGGCTTGGCGGCCATCAAACAAGTATATATGACCAGAAAAGCTAGTTCAACTAATCAGGTTTCAAACTCCGATTCTTCTCATCCAGTCTGCTACCATCTGTTATCCCAGTCTTTCTCTTTTAAGAAAAACAAGTAGTTTTTAGCACAATGGTTAGCAAGTACGATTAGTCTCATTGTTATGCTGTAATGTATTTATAAAATGCTTTACTGTTACGTATTCCTTCTGTATTAACTAAACATGCAATGTCAAAGTCTGTAGATTAACAGAAAATAAATGATTATACACGAGAGATGACTTGTATAAACCTGCTACTCAGGCATGCCCCCTGCCATTGGTTTTATGTTCTTCTCACAATCTGAGTACATCCCAAATTTAACAAATGGTTCTTTTATCCTTGAATACATTGAACTCTGACTTGCTTTTTTTTAAAAAAAACATTTTTTAACCAAATTCGGCATTTCCATGAAAAAGAAAAATTGCCTAATAACTTAAGGGAATAGTTTTACCTCCTAATGTGTGCTTTAATAGTGCAAGTTAATTTCTTTCTCTTCGTGCCTTTTAGAAGCTTAATTAACTGCTAGGACCTCTTGAAAACTCCACCCTTCATTTTTCATCATCTATTAACATTCTGGCCCTCAATCTCTCCTCTGACCTTGGTTTCAATTCTCACATCCGTCCACTGATAAACTGGCCTCAAAGAAGCTTAGATTCCTTTCGTTTTCCAAAGCAAATCTCAATTCTCTGTAAAGCCCAAGTCAGTCCAGACTTCGATACAGAAGTCAAGGTTTGTCTCAAGACCTCCTGCGCCTTCGGTCATTTTCCCCCGCCCCCAAGGCACACACACCTCCCGAATCCAACCCCCAGCTTGGGTGCAAACCCTGACTGTCCAGCTCCTTGGGACGTCCTAACAACGTGAAAGGAGCTATATAAATGCAATTTGTTTTTTGTTGTTGATGCACTTGTCCTAATCTTCACAATGCTGTACTGAATAAAATTACAGCCAGTTTACTTTGGCAGTTAGATTTTGAATAATTAATAATAATCCTTGCATTTGAGGTAGCGCCTTAATCACATCTACGAGACGTCTGAAAGTGCTTCACATGATATATTTTGACAAGGGGATCCTGCACATTAGGATGAGAATTGACCACGTTACCTTGCTCCTTTATCTGCCGTATCTGCCTCACAGTTTCTTTCAAGATTGCGCATTTATCAGGTTTCACGTTGAAGTTGTCGATGTCACTCAGGTTTGCAGAGATCAGCTCAGCCAGTTCTTCAATGTATTTGCTCTCCTGTTCACGACGACGTTTTTCAATGCTGCAATTCACACTACCACACACAGATCATACAGTAACTACAGCCAACAAAGAGCCCGGCAACAGATTGCTATCACATAACACAAGATTACCAATTTGCTTCCATCAGAATCTATTTATCCTGTCATTTATTTTGTTTACAAAATCGAGTCACTTCTACTTAATGGTAACAAATCTGCATTTTACATTAAAGTGTTTTACTGTACAAAATACAGCACATGTATATGCACTCCCCTCCTAAAATGTTGGTGTGTGCAATCAGGAGTAGCAAACCACTTAAAATATTTTCTATGCATTTTGTGAACAGCAATACCCTTAATCACTGCACACTTTGTTTTCATTGTCCTGCTCGTTAAAGAAAGATTCTGTTTCTACTGTGACTGCAACAAATTAAGATAAAAAGCACTGGAACAGCTCCAGCAGTCTGTTGGAATGTATGTTGTACCAGCTTACAATGTGGTACACATTACACAGACCCATCGCTCCTAATTCCAATCATAAGAGGCTCCCAATTTCTCCTGGACAGTGAGGACTTGTAGCAAGCAGAATTGTTTTTATAAAAGGAAAGGAAGCTGCAGAACTCATGCACCTACTCAAGGTTTACAAATGCATTAGGGGTCGCATGGGATACAGAAGTCTGCAAGCAGGACTCATCTACAAGTCTTGACTATGGGAATGGTGAATGGCAAAAATCTCATACTGAAAGGGAAAGAACTTGCACCTCGTCACATTGAAACCTCTCAAAGCACACTGAAAGTAAGTATGGTCATCTATCCCAGCAAGGTTCCATGATCTTCATGAGGTAAATGATCAATTAATCTGGGAGTTTTGTTGGCCAGGATGCTTTCCAATAGCATCGGAGACTGTTTAACATCGGCCTGAAGGCAGTTGGGGTCCTACGTCTTGTCTTATTCAAAGGACATCCCGTTTGACGCTGCAATGCTCCCACAACACCACACAGGAATGTAAGCCTCAACTATGGGCCTCTGATGTGGGGCTTGAACCCACAACCTCCTGACCCAGAATGGAGAGAGGTACCGAGTGAGCCAAGCATACATACACTGAATATACATTTGAAAAACAATCTGCAAAGGAATGGAAGTTTGCATTTCTAAGGACCTGCCTACAGATGGCAGTGCAATAATGAAACCGACAAAAAAAAACAGGCTCACACAAAGGAAAAAAAATGTAACTCAAAATTTGGATTCAATCTTGGCCTGCAAGATCTTTTGTATTGGTTTGTATTTTATTTTTGTTTTTTTTAACAGCATCAGAGAATCTGACATGTTGTCTGTTACATCATCATAGTACTTACAATCTCACAATCTCTCTGGTTTACTGTACTTGGGACACACTCAAAAACAACCGACTCGCTGGGAGCCACTGTTTGCATTCTGTGGCAAATTTTTTGGTGAGCGCTTTACAATGGGATGGCAAAAAAAACCTAACTGCTTCAATTAGTACTACCCTGAACAGGAAACTCCATAATGAAAACAGTTTGATTCAACTAAAAACAAACAACGTATTTGTCTTATTTTCCATATAAATTGGGTTAAAGAGCAGATTTTTTTTAAACTCCATGGGCTGGAGCATACTTAAGTGCTTAGATATGCCACAAGGTACAATTTGCAAACTCTAATTCCCCTACATGATGAGGTACAAATCAAACCCCCTATCAACAACCAACAACCCTTTATAGGAAAAGATCCAAATCCATTCATACTCTGTTCTCCCCCCACTCCACTCTCCAAACAATTCATAGCCATTTGGAGACCCTAAAGTGGATTGCCTGCTGATTTTACTGTTCTGTGCTTCAACAGAGAAAGCAGTGAAAAAAATTAATGGAAAAAAAATCAGGGAAGTAGAAAAAAAAGGGGTTTCTTCCCAATCCAGAAGAGCTTTCAAGTCAGGAAGAAACAATGAAGTCAAAACAACTATTTCAATAGTGTCCTGGGTACATTATTTAAGAGTTCTCATTTACCGCTAGCTTTTTCATGTCAGGGAAACCCCAATGAATTTCCATTGCTAATAGGAACATGTACGTACCTTGATCCATGAGCATCAAAAGAAGAAAGCTTTCGTTTTCTTGAATCGGAGGACACCGATTCTAAAGTGTTTTCTCCAGGTGCACTCATCTTGAACACATATCAGCAACTGCAAAAGACAGCGAGGATATAAAAGGTCCAACTCAAAACACCATTAGAAGAGGTTACCAAATGGCATGGAACTCTTTCTTTATCTTATAACCACTGTCAAGTTTGAAACAAATTCTTAAAAACCTATAACAGTGATCTTTGTCTATTGTAGTATCCTAGAAACATTTCTAGCAGATCAGTAGAGCACATCGAGGTGGTTCATGATCACAGAATGACTCTGGCCCACGTTTTCACAGTTCATCACTTTGGCAGTATCATTTTCCATTCGTCTTGCTCGTGACCATTATTTCCGTTCAATTTTGAAAGAAATAGTTGGTTGACATTAAGGATGGCACAGCACAGTCACTGTGTTTCACTTTTCACCTCATTTCCATAAACAGCCCAAGTAAGCGATGTATGAAAAAATATTAAAAAACAAGCCTTTTCTGATTGCATTGGCATCCCTGAATTAATCCGCAAGGTAAATTATTACTGTTCTAACTCTGGTGTTTTGCAGGCTTACACAGACACCCATCTTTTATTCCTGGAATCATTTGGGGTCAAAGTTGTGTAGATGAGCAAAACGGCTGAAGATGAAATGGTCAAAATTACCTTTCCAACATACATATATATAGCTATGTGGCTGGCCTGTCATGCTCCTAAATATGAGGTTATAGCAACATATTTTCTGTTTATATTAGTTTCCCTACAGTTACTTCGAATTCACTGAACAAGGGAGCATGAATTCACTATGAGAAATGAGTGATTTGCCTGTTGATATCCTAGCACTAACTTCTTTATGTCGTTCTGTGCTCCAAACAAGCATCAAGACAATTTCAGGAGCCATGTGCACATGCTGTATACATGTCTGCCTGTAGCCAGTTATGCTCAATACACTATGTTAAACAAAAATCCTCATATAAAGAATGAGCCACCTCTACTAAAAATTAGACAATATTCTAGAAGTACCGCCACAAAATCTCTGATGAAAATTAACCTGCTAAAGCTCACTGTTATGACTTATTTACAACGTTATTTTCTTACATCACTTTTTTTTCCTTTTCACTACTGAGTAGGAAGCCGCCTACAACCCAATAATGGTTAAGTAGCACTTCCTGTAAACAAGAGGAGGAAGTTGAAGTTTTTTTTAAAAAAACACACATAAATAGTCCCGACAGATATGTTCAAGCAAAACCAAATGTTAAAAATCACTTGTTGTCCAGCAGGTTGTAATAAATTCTTTCATTTAAGTTACCAAATGTTATGTAAAATAGCAAACATGGTTATTCTTGAACAATAATTTCATTTTCTTCTTCATCCAAGACAAATGAAACGTTTGAAAATATTACCCCACAAACAGTAAAAGCGTAAGTGTTGACTACACTACATTAGTTACAATTATAGGGTCTCCTACACAGGGTCTCACATTCAGACAACAACGTTTCATCGTGTATGTATGTATGTATGTAACATTAGGACTGTCAAAGATTATCTTTGGTCTCTCACAAGTCTCAATTGTACAATTTGTGTCAATCTATATTGTAGACACACAGCTGTCTAACTACTGTGTTAATTCCTTTTCACCGTCATCAGGTCTGGACAAGAAGGAGTCAGAGAGCAGACTGCAAATGAGTAAAGGTTCCCTTTCAGATTTGTGTGTGATTTCTTTTTGTTCCTTAAACATGGTTCTCTGTACACCAGAGCTCAAAACGGCCAAAGCAATATTCCACAGGTGTAGGACTGACCAGCCACACAACCAATTGAAAATGTTCTTCCACATCAAATAAACAAGGAAAAACAATTGAAATTAAGTTAGTTCTTAGGGTAGGGGAGTGGGTTTACGAGTTAGGAGGTTAATATGAGTAGTGCAATGAAACCCAAGTGATTTTGATAGGAAAGTGAAAGGGACTTGGATGAATGTATGATTTTAGGATTCATAAATATAAGAACTTATGAGTTTTGCTGTATTTGGTTATTAAACTAAAATAGTGTTTAGTGCACTACTCCACAGTAAATTATTGCAACAACAAGACATTTATTAATCGCTGAGTGTGAACATCATCGTGTATCAACGATGTGGAGAGCGCTGGCAGCCGGGAGCCTGCTGTCCGCAGTGACAGGAGCTGTCAGTACACACCAGTGATGCCACAAAATACAAGGTATTGAGGAATGATTTCAAGATTGTGATAGGGCTTCAGATGACGAGGTCTAAGCTTTAACCACACGGTTCTTGATAATGGCTAAGCCTTTTGATCATTATTGCCATATAATAATTTCCAGGTATTACCCCTTCGTTACCCTACGAACTCAGTAATTAAAACAGATTTACTCTTTCAAACAATAACTGGACAGTTAATTATGCACTCATGAAAAACACACCCACCTTGGAAATTCACTATAAAAGGAAAATGACTCAAAGTTTACCTTAACTTCATTCAGTAAACATCAGGATGAATCTGGAACTGGATGCGAATTTAGTGTTTTCAGTCATCATCTGTCACAACTACAGACAAGAGAGAGAGATGGAGAGGAAAAGGAAAAAAGATCAAAACACCTGAATAACTATAACCACTTGCATTCATGAAAATTAGCTCGTTTTTAAATGGCTTACGTGCAGATTAATTCTAGAAATTTTACCAAATCTAAGCAGGATGAACATCATACGTAGATTCACAAGGTTGGTACCTGGGATGAGGGGGATGAGTTATGAGGATAGGTTGAGCAATTTAGGCCTACATTCTCCAGAATATAGAAGAATGAGAGGTGATCTTATAGAAACCTATAAGATTATTAAGAGGCACGACAGAATAGATAGTGAGAGACTTTTTCCCCTGGTTGGAGAAACTATAACTAGGGGGTCACAGTCTTAAAATTAGGGGTAAGTACTTTTGCAAAGAGTTGAGGAAAAACTTCTTCACTCGGAGGGTAGTGAATTTATGGAATTCTCTACCCCAAAGGGCTGCAGATGCTCAGTCCTTGAACATATTGAAGACTGAAATTTATAGATTTCTTGTGGATAAAGGGATTAAGGGATATGGGGATAAGGCGGGTAGGTGGAGTTAGAATAGATCAGCCATGATCTTATTGAATGGCGGGGCAGGCTCGAGGGGCCGAATGGCCTACTCCTGCTCCTAATTCTTATGTTCTTATGTCTGGCACTTGCACTTTTTAAATAACTTTTGATTAATATTTCAAATGACTATTTAATACACATTAAGTTTGAATCACATAAAACATTTCCATGTAAAAATTGTAAGTTTATCCAGTGAGTAGCCGAGCCATATAGAAAGACATGTAGGTTTGATCCCTGGTTTGCGGTGAGCTGATCTCAGCGTGGATGGAACTTTGGGTCCAATAATAGACCTTGGTTCATATTTGGGAGAGGAATATTAGCTCCCGATCACTATCCAACTACTCTTTGCTGCAACATGCATGTGGACGAGATCAGGCTTGGCTAAAAACCCAAAACATATTATACATGTATGTACATTAGGGGAGGTTTGGAATGGACTCAGCTGTGATGCCCCTACTGTTGAACAATCAACACTCCCCACCCCATCAAGTCGCACAGGAATAATTCTACTTGGTTAGTATGTGTGGTATCCCAGTAGAAGAAGTCCTTCAGGAAAAGAGGGGGAAGGGAAGACAATTTGTAAAGTTGAAGGTTAAACGTTCCTCCCCCTCTTGTGAAATGACATTTCCAGAACTTTGCTGACGGAAAGCGGATCGTTCAAGGTGGCAGAAAAAGAGTACCAAATTATGTTAAAATAACTCAAATGTTGAACACAAAACAGCATCAGGATAACAAAATCTGCACTGTCTCAAAATAATCCCCTTTTAATTCTGCCAACAGTGAAAGGCAGAACAGTAATTCTCAATAAAAGTGACACATCACCAGTTTAACATGACCTAAACAACATCTCAACAGAGCAATGCCAATCAACTCAACAGGCACAGCGTGGGCTACATTAGCATTTTATTAACCGAGAGATAATAGAACACCAAAAAGCACAACAAGACTGCCAACTGGTCACACCACCCTCCCTACATCATGATCTGCTGACGTTGCAGACTTGCAAGCTTTGAAAATTGAACAATGCAGAATAAGGTAGCAAGGATACTGTGATAGTCTTGTTGTGATAGCGAGTGTTCCCTCGTAAGAATGTAGTAGGGCAGTAGCAGCAGAAGGAAGGTTAGAAGTAGATAGTGGGGAGGGTTAAGCTGGTTAGCAACCCATATGGAGCAATGCAAGATGGTAAGTAGGATGAGGAAACGAGGAATGGCGCATTTCAAGAGAAGTGCCAATGAAGGCTGTGGCGGGAGATATGGTGGAGAGAATCACTTGCTGTCAGCAATTATTTCCTAGTTATTGAATTTCACAGCCATGTTATGAGGACATAGCAGTTACATTTCCTGAAGTCTCCCTGTACCTTGGAACCATTTCATAATCCAGAGTAAACAGTTAGAAATGTTTTCTACATTTTGTTACCATTTCTACTGAGGTCACTGAACCGAGATCCCTTTCTTGCAAACAAAAGCTTTTTTTAAAAAAAAAGTTAAAATATACTATGCATTAACAGATGTTTATGATCGATATGTGTGTGTGTGAGAATCTACAGACACACGCCATGACATTATATGCTCTATTCTAAAGGAATTATGAAAGCACCTGTTTGAATAAAGGTAAAAATGATTCAACAGTTCAGAGCAGTTTGAAAGAAGTAAAAAGCTTGACATGGCATTGTTTTAACTCAATTTCAGCAAGGTGCTTCAACTTTGTTGTGAAGTGCAAGAGGGAATTCAATCATCTCAATAGATAATCATTTACTTGCGATGGAGAAATATAACTCTACGGTACTTCAAAATAGACTTCAGAGGTTAAAAAAAAACTTTCAGAAAGTTTTTCTCAACTAGCTGTTGGACAGACTAGTTTTACTAGAAAGTCTTCCAGCACTAATAAAGGTTGTGTTCAGGCTAGTGAGAAAGATTGCTCTGGGGCGAGATTAATTAAGCAACACCTGCAATGATCCCATGGCAGAATTTTTGAAATTCATCTAAACTCCACGCCTGTGACTGAGTTTATTCATGGCTCAGCATTTGTTGACCCACTTGGAAGGATTAACAGGCACACAGATATGTGTAATGTTGTTCAAATTGTAAAAAGCTACAGGTATTTAGTGCTGAGCATTAGAATGAGAAATATCAACTTCAGTCCTGTGGCTTCAGTGTACTGTACAGAATAATAAAAACAATTCTTGCACTTGATATAGCGCTTTTCACATCTTCGAGACGTCTCAAAGCACTTCACACAATATACTGTAAAGTGAATTGACTGTATATTTGTGGGCGAAACACAGCAGCCAATTGCGCACAGCAGCGTCCCACAAACAGTCGTGGATTGAAGTGACTAATTCATTATTGTTTTTTAACTATTGTACAGAAGTCCTGTGGCTTAGTGTCAATGTGGTATAGCGCACCAGTTTCAAGGGATTTGATCCTCCACATGGTTTCTGACCTTAACTGCAAGAGATTGTTAGAATCAAATTATTACTTCATACAATAGCTTGTCATTGTTAGGAATGAATATTGTGCTTTTACGTCTGCCACAGTCCTAGGTGGCAGCCTTCTAAAAACAGCGACACCTATGTCGTGCAAGAGGCGTGAGTAGATGTTCTCAAATTATTTTATAAAACTAGCCACAAATAATTCTATATGTACACACAAACAAGGATGTAGGAGCAAAGGAAAGGTCCTGCTGCATATCTTAATACACATCAAGAGCTCACCAGGACCACAGGATTCTAGGTCAGACTAATTTCTACTTTTCAAATTACAGATTAGCTGAGTGGAAGCAATGAAGCAACAGAAAGAGGTATCAAGAACTGCCAAACCCTGCTGACTGTCATGTTAACAAATAGAGCAGTTTACAAATTTATCAGTATGTGGTGTAGATTTTAACTCATGTGGAGGAGGATTCCCCTGCTGAAAACTATCCATCTTTACAGAGTCCCAAGTAATTATCTTGTATTGTACACACATTACTGTTTAGTTTAGAATCAGGACTTCCATCAATTAATGTTTTATCTTCTTCTAAGAATAAAGACATTCCACCAGTCGAAAAAGTACTGCACAAACCAAACAGGAGATACGGTAAAAATTTGCACCCACACAATCGAGAAGCAGCCACAATCATAGCACTTCCAGTAATAAAGCCTTTCGTGCAGAGGAAGTTGCTTCAAACCAGCAAACTGATACCACAGCAGAGTGCCTTACCTTTTAACCAATGAGATAAGAGGTTGCCGAAGTAGGGCATTTTGCCAACTTTTCCTGGCAGCTCGATAGAAGCCAAATTCGACACTAACTGGCTGTAGTAATTTTGATTCACTTCTCTTTCTCTCCCTAGCTCCCCAGCGTCAGTCAGAGCACAGAGGCTGCGAGACCTTTAAAAATTCAGAGCTCTCGGCTCGTTCCTGGTGAAAACAGGAAACAAATCAACAAAACTCATCAGCTTGTTTCACTTAATTCACGTGATCTTTGCCCAGTAAGCAGCCAGTTCATTTCCCTTCCTGGAAACAAATATTGGCAGAACTGTTCCGCTCAGCGTAATGTGTGCAGAGAAATTCCCTATCTCCTCGCCCAAAGAATGTATGTAGAAAGCTGCTCTCCAGTGTGGACAGCTACTGCAAAAAGAATGGGGTTGTGGTTGGATTTGGATATAATTTCTCATTGATAAAACAAAGTAGGAAGCTCCATTCTGTGCATGTTTTAGCGTCAGAAATTACCATAAACTGAGGCTAAGATAGCAAACACATTTGAAAAAACTGCATTGCTCAAATTATTTCAAGAGGCAATCTCTCTGCCCCCCTTCCCCCAACCCCGCCCAAGTTTAATGCAGAATCCAATCATCTCCTTTAAAGCAATGTAACCAACTGTACGAAATCCTTAGCTCCTGCTTCATATGTCATTCTTGGTGGACTCGTGATGCATTTTTACAGTTGTATCACGATCTGTAAAACTAATTTGTAGAATGTGGGAGTTTGGATTCCTTGGTTTACAAATATGTATACTGAACAATGATGCCGGGTTTTTAAAGACACAGGATTAGTGCAATCTATAAACGTCTTAACTTATTATTTTTACTTTCTAGGTATGTGCCAACAAACAGTAGTATTCTTGGTTAACTGGCAAACAGTTGCTTGATTCCAGTTTAAAAAACTACAGAATGCCATGAAGACTTGCCATGAATAGTAATTCACTGAATCAAACTACTTTAACTCCTCCCCTCCCCCCAGACTGAACAGTCAATTCAGGAACCTATAATGGAAAATAAAACTACATCTCAAGTTTTCTGTGAAAATCTGTCTCACAAGAGACAAAATACTGTCTCACAAGATCTCCTGAAAGATCTGTACAGATACTATACTGAACCATTTTCTCACAAGTGTTTCAGTAGATTGTAATTGGATAACCATCAAAGTGGCAAAATGGTAGGTATGCATATTGAATGGTTATTATTTTGCATCCTGTTCCAAGGCTCTGTATGCAGTCTTTGATCTCCAATTTAATGACCTTAAACTCGCTCCTGATTTACTGTGGTAGTACTTGGGAGAGTCACTAACTCCTTTATACAAATGGAGAAATCCAAATGACCTCGAAACATCAACGCACGTGATATCACACTTGTACTTCACAACGTCATTCCATCGCCACGCAGGTTCAACAAGCAAGGCACAAGGCCAACGGCAAAGGAGCTTGTGGCAAACTGAACTTTTTTTTAAAAAAACTGTGATGTCTCCCTATACTCCCCAATGTAACAGATTCTCTATTTGTAATGAATATACACCTTACAGTTACTAGGCTTTCAATACTTCAATCCCCTCCAAGAGCCCAGGGTTGAGGTTATGCTGTATTAACCTTCCACCGTTCCTATGGCCATCAGTCTCCCTTTGGTACAACTGCAACATAAACAGGTTGCAGACGGGTTCCGAAACTCTGAATGTCCAGCGCCTTGGGCCATCCTCCCACCATGAAAGGCGTTACACCAACGTAAGTGTATTGTTGTTGTCCTGTTGCCTCTTAACACACAGATACGGCTCGAGAGGAATATCTTCTGGATCATCAAAGGTAGCGAAATGGATCGAACGGCACAAAACTATCAGGACAGACCCTGCAGGACACTCTCTGATGAAACAGATCTTCTACATTCTCGGAACATAAACACGGCATTTGTCAACTCAAACAGAATGTCAACCACCTCCCAAGCTAACTCCCTCCAAGTATTAAATGCTGAGTCCCTGAGTGATTAACTCTATAATACACTTTACAGAATAATTAATCCTCAGCTGATGAATGGTAAATAATGAATACGATTGAGCTACATTGCAAAGCTAAAATGGGAAATATTACAAGTGTAGCATCAAATAAATTCTATTATCTGGATCCATCTCATTGACTAATTGCTGAAAGCAGCTGCTTAACAATTGTGAAGGCCTGATGTTGCTTTGCAAACAGGAGTTATAACAATGGAAGTAAATTTGTCTTTCATTCTTATCAGGTTACATATGGGATGCAACGATAAACCTATAAATAGTTTGCCTTTTTTTTAGTGTTGTCTATTATTCAGCACTCCAACACAGTGTTCTGCAGTTCCAAAAAATATAATTTGTGCCTGATTTAAAGCACTGTGAAAGTAATTTTGTCTTCTGTAGTTTGGCAAGTAACAAAGCTGTAAGGCTCCAGATTTGTAATGGTAGCAAAAACGTTTCATGAGCCTCTTTTCTGTGTCGGTCCTTTTGATATGTTATTTTATGTGAAAGAAAATGTGTCCAATCATTCATGCAATTGGAGTGGCTCACCATTTGTGGCAACCTTCCTCTTGAAGTGCCAAGATAGGTTGTTCAGTTTCCACTCTTTGAACCATTTCCTTTTTCCTCCTGTCTTATATGAGCAAACCCATCCACAAGGCAAATTGCATTTTACAAGTTCGGGGCTTGATACGAAAATGTATAAGTCATCATGATATCTCATCATGTAGGAATAAGAGTTCTCTGTACTCATGCAAATGTTTTATTTGAATTCTAGGGGATGCATTCCCTCAGTGTTCAAGTGCTTCACAACAGCAGCAACAGATTCACGAATATCAGTGCAAATTATACTAGGGTGTGTCAACCCAACTTCATCTGATGTTCCTAGTTTGATTAAAGGTTTATCTGCTCAGTAGGAGTCATGTTGTACAATCTAATAATAATAATAATCCTTGCATTTGATATAGCAAGTTTTTCACGTCTTCTAGACGTCTCAAAGCGCTTCACAGAATATACTGTATATATTTTGTGGGCGAAACGCGGCAGCCAATTGCACACAGCAGTGTCCCACAAACAGTCGTGGATGAGTGACCAAATTATTATTGTTTTTTTNCTTGAGGGATTATTATTAGGCGTGTGGAGTAAGGAAACTTGCCCAAGGTTTCAGCCTGCCAGGAATCGAACCCAGATCTCTCGCTTGCAAGGCGAGTGCTCTAACCACTGAGCTACAGGACTCCAGAACCTACACTCACTTATATAAGCATATAATTGTGTGACACATAATTGTCATATCGGGTACTGATCTTCAATTAAAGTACTGATGAGCATCTCCAATCTATGATGAGACCGGCCAGTGTCCATACAATGAACAGTTCTACTGCCCTCCACCCCTCCTGTCTCCAACTGCCAACTCAGGTCCAAAAACCCCAGACTGTCCAACGGTTTGGGATGTCTTTCCGATGTGAAAGGCACTACATTAGTGTAATGTGTTGTTGTTGACCAATATTCCCTCCACATCATCAAAGATACTGGGCCAACAATGAAGGACTGGTCGTTTGGTTGATCCCAGCTGCATTCAGCACCTGGGCCACATCCTAGCACATAGTTCTGCTCCTTGATTCCCTGTACCCTGAACAAGTCCTCACAGATCTCAGGAAAAGTCTGCAGCAACCAGCAAACTCAAAACACCATTACGTTTAGACCCAGCTTTTTGCTGAAGGCTTCACACCTCTGTACAGCTTCACTTCCACTGGGATTGCAGGCTGCAGATGTAACCATCAATCAGATATTAAATCAATGCATTAATACCTTCACCCAAGATTACAAAACTTGACTCAACTCATCCATAAGCCACAACAACAAGAACAAACGGCTGGATGGAACTTCTCAGACAGTGGGGCTTTGTTTAACTCACAACCTCCACATACCAGAACAGAAGCCGTTTGAATCAGATTCCCATCACGAAATTTAAAGTGCAAAAGAATTGCAGGTCAGGGGTGCATCATGACACATGTCACAACCAAACTGACAACCAGCTCAAGTAAGAGTATCACCATAGTCTATGATCTGCCATTTTGTTTTAAACCAGCTCTTACCTCAAGGTGTCAGTTGTTCACAGCTGCTGAATTGTGGCAATCTCAAACTCCTCGGAGATTTGGGTGCAGCTGTAACATTGGATTGCTATCCGTGGTTGATATAAATATTATTCTCACTAGAAGGGTCCTTCGTATTTGTGCATCTGTAACACTTACAGAGATGTTTCAGTTATACTGATGCCCATCTAACACTCTTAGTTTTAGATGCAACAGGTCTCAACCCATGTTGGCATTCACAGCAAGTCACAAAGCCTTCCAGCAAGCTCACAAGGCCTGCAAATCATTAAAGATGCTCCTATACAGAGCCTGATTATGGAAAGAAACCTTTGTCTGAATTCATCAAGACTTGTTGGATTCTCATGTAATCATACTGCCCTGCCTGGTGCACATGTCAGCTCCAGTCCCAGTGAGAGACCACCGGCTTTAGTCTTGGCATTCCTCACTCCTGGTGTTGACGTGATTTTAGCAGAGCTTACTGCACATCCTCAGTTGTTTCAAACACGTTCTGTAGTTTCAAAAAAGAAGCCTTCAATTTAAAAAAAACATCAATCGCTTTTAATTTTCTGGGATGAGTTAGAGAGCACATGCATCAGGGAGGCCTTTAACTTCTGCAGTTGTGTGGCATGATGGCCAAGGTTTGCCAAAAAGAGAAGGTCAAAGCGGCAACATTCATTTTATAAGTAGTACATCTGAAAGAATGGTTGTGGATGCCAAATACAAATATTTTCACAGGCATAAGGTTCTTCCACTGAAAGTACCTCCAGCAGGACACTGGGGCAAGTTCAGTTACTATCACACAAGGTAGTCCCCTTCAGGCTGACTTTGCTTTGTTTGGACATACTCCAGATCCGGCATTGGTGTTGCCAAGTGAAGATTATGATTTGTGCACAGTGTGTCGCGGTAGTACAGTATGTGGAAGGAGACTCCCTGAGCAGGGACAAAGTGCACCCGCACGAGTAGATCCTTCATACGCATGCCACACATCTCATTTTCAACAGATGGATTTATCTAAAAATGTACCCGCTGCCCATTGCTCTTCCAACAGGTCACTAGAACCACCTAGAAATAAGA